AAACTGCAGCATAGGAAGTTCCACCTGAATAAAGGAAGAATTTCACTGTGAGGGTGACTGAGCACCGGAACAGGCTGCCCAGAGAGGTTGTGGAATCTCCCTCCCTGGAGATATTAAAAAACCATCTGGACAAAATCCTGGTTCATGTGCTCTGGGAGTCCCTGCTTGAGCCGAGTGGTTGGCCTAGATGACCTTCAGAGGTCCCTTCCAACCTCAACCACTCTGTGATTCTTTGAAAAGTGCTCATCTTTTTAAAAATGTGAGTAACAAGGCTTTAAGGAGAAATAAGGTCAGGAGAAGTTAAGGTCAGATGGATACATCTACACTGTTGGCTTCTAAAGTTAACTTTTAAGGGGTTTTTTTTTTTTTTTCAATAAATACATTTTTGCTTTTGCATTAAATGAGAAGTTTCAATCAAAAACATCTCTGCAAAGAAGCTTTTCAATTTTCCATTTCCCCTGCTCCTTCAGAAAGTCATTTTTCACATGAAAAAATATCCAGAAATATACAAAAATAAAATTACAGAAATAAATAAAACATACATAAACAAGTATTAAAAATAAAATAACATAAAATTAAATTAAATTTCAAAAATAAAATAAAAAAACTGATAAAGTAGCAACTAAACATTAATCAAAAACCAGAGAGAATACACATGCCTAAGTCTATGTATGCATTTGCATGAATTTAGTCCTGCTGTCTAGGTTTCCAATGCAAACTTATTAATTTTGTTCTACCTGGTAATAAGTTCTTCTGCAGCTTGTGAGCACAGTTGGATCTGTGCAACTTCTTCGTCTGTAGCCAACTCAACAGCCTGCTGAGGGTACAAGGGAGATCGAATGACAGGTTTACAGGAATCATACTTCTGTTTGTCTTCCCAAGACTTCAGGGTGTTTTCAAAGGCCTAATCAAAATGAAATATACATTCAGTTCACAGCACTTGGAGTATTCTTATTAATTTTAAAATTTAATTTCATATAATTTTTAATTTTTATACTATTTTAATTAAAATTAATTTAACAAATAACTTTTAAATTTCCTTTTAATTTTATATAAATAATACAAGCTCTATAAATAATGACATTAAATTTAATTTTTTAAAAACTCAGTATAGAGAATAAGTCACTTCTGAAAGCTCACTTTTTCCTTCTCCCTCTTTTATCCTCAGTAAACATCTTTCAAAACACAAAGACAGTGATAATACAAGCATGGATACTAAGATCCAAATTTGAAAGCAATACAAGACTCAAACCTAAAAAATGGTGTCAAAATTTACTAAACTATAGTTCAAATGTCATTAACTGCACCCTAAATTTGCCATCCAGTTAGTGGATGGAGAACTGAGGGGCAGTTACACCTTTCACACAGTAATCCTAGAAAAGTGTGAACTCTCCAGTGGCTTTCTGACAAGGTTCTCCAAGGAAGAGATGAATGAGAAGGAGGAGAAGAGAGGGGGAAAGAAAGAGAGGGGGAAAGAAAGAGAGGGGGAAAGAAAGAGAGGGGGAAAGAAAGAGAGGGGGAAAGAAAGAGAGGGGGAAAGAAAGAGAGGGGGAAAGAAAGAGAGGGGGAAAGAAAGAGAGGGGGAAAGAAAGAGAGGGGGAAAGAAAGAGAGGGGGAAAGAAAGAGAGGGGGAAAGAAAGAGAGGGGGAAAGAAAGAGAGGGGGATCACACAGTAATCCTAGAAAAGTGTGAACTCTCCAGTGGCTTTCTGACAAGGTTCTCCAAGGAAGAGATGAATGAGAAGGAGGAGAAGAGAGGGGGAAAGAAAGAGAGGGGGAAAGAAAGAGAGGGGGAAAGAAAGAGAGAGAAAGAGAGGGAGGGAGGGAAGAGAGAGAGGGGAGGGGGAGAGAGTGGAAGAGAAGAAAGAGAGAAAAAAAGACAAAAAAATTTGACCATTCTTCTTCTTACTATATATTAATAAGAATACAGGAATAGCACTAATAAAACTGATAAAGCTAACAAAGAACTGTCACACAAAATAACAATTCTCTAGCAGGCTTATTATAGAAATTATGCAACTGTAAGCAATCATATAAATTATATACACAGTTATAAAATATTTTTATAAGCACTGTTTTGTTCATGTTATAATGGAATTAAATTATGACAGGAACCAATCTTAGTAATGGTATCTCATAACACATTTTCTGCAACATACTCTGTCTCGTGTTAGCATCTGAGCTCTGTTTTTATGTATGATTTTAATAACACCCGGGGGCTGGATCCATGCCTCTCCATCGACTTGCACTGGAACCCCTTCATCACCAAGTATGGTGATCTTTACTGACCGACACTGGAAAAGAACAAACACGTTATTTTACAGAGCAATAAATACTAATGAAACTGATGGGCCACCTGAAATATGTTGATTACTAGGAGCTGTGGCTTCCCTCCAGGACTGTCTCAAGGATGAAGCACTTTTATACTTCATTCGTCATTGAAGACAATTTGTTACCCGTTAAAATTAAAACAATGTCAGCACTTTATTAATGTACAGGGTGGTGGTCATCAAGAGTACCGCTACTTGCCAGCGTCCCAAATTGCTGCCAACCATGTTGTGTGCTTTCAAGTATGAAACAAACCTGAGCTATCCTGTGGTGCTGCAGTTTGATGACTCTTGAAACTGCCATCTGCATGCTGCCAAATACCGCAACAACTTCTAAGATTTTATCATCAAATGATGGAGCCCCAAATATCTGAAAGGAAAATACAATATTCCAGTTTTGATGGTAAATCTAGTGCTCTGATTACATGTTCAATGAAACACAGATCCATTTACAGATTTGACGTTTAAATGCTCTAATTTATGTACTGTAGAATAACTACACTGTCTTTTAAAAGTCATAGGAGTGAGATAACATAGAGAGTAGGCAAATATTTTCAAACAGCAATGCTAATAGCATTTCAAATATCTGAATGAGGAGTTATATCCCTATATAGGAAGGATGGCATGTTTCAGCATGCAGACTAAGAAATGTTTTTCAAGGCAAGATGAAAGGCCAATTCAAATCTCTGCTTGGTATTTAATATCTAAGAGGTTCTTGAAGTTAAGAGGAGTAATGGTGTCTTTTTTCTCAAAAGTGCTTATCTTCTTATATTCTGAATTCTCTGGAAATCAACATCTGAGTCCACGCTCGGATTTGTCAAGCACAGCTTTCATACTGAAGAGAATCTTGTTTGTGCTGTATACAATTATCCACTATAAATATGAAAATCACTTCTGTATGGAACAAATGTCCTGATCCAGCCAAGATGTTGAATTGTCGTGAGTTTCCACAAAGCACAGGAAGACTCGCGTGTGCCATTGCCACCTGGTGTCCTGCAGGGGAATTCAGCCATGCCACAGGACAAGTCTTGGGCTGGAGTTCAACTGGATCTGGCAGGAGACACCATACTAAGGTCACCTGAAGCTTGACCTTTTCATCCCGATATGCAATAGGGAGCAACGAGGGAGAAAAATCATCAGGAGAAATCACTCCAGTAAGAGCTTAATTGGTAGAGAGATCACCTCTCTGAGACGTACTCAGTTGACACCTTGGGCAGTGTAAGCTCCATCAGAGAAACCTGATAACAGACCAGAGAAAATTCCTGAAATGAGCTCAAAAGCCACAAGTAGTTGGGTCCTGTCCCCTGATAGAGGACTTTCCTGGAGGTGAAGAATAAGAAGGTGCAGATCCAGGACTGTGTAATCCAGACAGTATCTGCAGCAATGGCTCAGGGAACGAGAGGATGGCGATCAGGGTGAGGGACTTTGGGCAGCTCTTGCTGCCCACCAAGCCAGCAGGAGCTTTCACGCCAGTGCAGTGAGCAGTAACTTTGGCCAGGAGGCTGAGGAGGGCTTCTCAGGGAAAGGGCTGCACAGCCTTGTTGCCATAGTTTAGTGTCACATTCTGGTGGCACTTCCCTTCAGAGCATCCCAGGATTGCACAGATAGGTCATGAGTAGATAAGTATCAAAGAATGAAAGTCCAATTTTACTGGGTCTAGAGTGTTTTGAAGCAAAAGGTTTCTCCATCTGAATTATTCCAATTTCTATGGAACATAGGGATGTGAATGTCTTGAAAAGAGTAAAGATGTTAATTCTATTATTCTAAGGTAAAAAGTCTGGAAAGTCCTTGATCCAGCTTTAACAAGAATAACTGACATCTACAGGGCTAGTTCTGCATGGGTTAAGAAAAAGTAGTTGTAAAATGTCATTTATTTTTTGCTTCCATTTTAGCAAAACAAAGGGCAAACCACAATCCAGTCTGCTGTGTGTCTCCACCAGTAAAACATATCTGTACTGAAAACCAAACAGATTTTTTTTTTTTTTTAATAAATGCAACCAAATCTCCACAGAACAACGTTCAAGAAACAATTCCCTCCTTTCCTGTTGCAGGTCATGTTTCCAGGCTGCCTTCTGGACTCCAAAAAAGCATGGCTAAACAAGCCTCCCACAAGTCAGTTGGTGTGCAGCTGCCCTGCTTGGCTCACCAATAATGTTTCAGGAATAGTCACAGCTGTCGAGGCGACATCTTTCTTTTGTCCAGAGAAGCAGAACTAGCAGCACTCCAGACCACCACCACCACCTCTAATGATCAGTCACTCAAGACTGCACTAAAGCAGCAAATTATGCTCCTAACTCTGTCCAGAACAAACATGTCACTTTGCTGGCACATCTGACCACCAGAAGACTAAGAGTATCAGTAAAACTGCTCCAAGACACACACATTTGCTGTATCCCAGCATGACAGCTAGGACAGATCTTCTCCCTCAGTGAGGCAGTCCTGGGAGAAAAGTAAACTCTTGAAGGGGATGTTAGAGATGCTTTCAAGTTATGAATATGAACATGGAGTATATAAAAACTTTAGATATCTACAGCCAAATATAAACACAACAGCCATCCTCTGACACGTACCAAAAATAAGAAAAGAATATTGAAACATGTTTATATATTTTTGTGACTTTAATGTATATGTGTGTATATATCTATCTATCTATATATATCTATATATATATATCTAAAAGCAAAGGATAATAACTGATGAGAAACCAAAAGCATTTTGGCAAAAAAAATCCTGGATTGTCTATATTAAAATCACAGACTAATTTGCAACTACAGTTTTAGTTGATGCAGACCTCATACACACTAAATCAGGACAGGCAGAAGCAGAATAATCTGGTAGCAATTACAATTGTTGCACTGTGCATGAAGTGGATGGCAGCAATAAGACTGCTCCAAGTTGTAAGACATTTAGGTATCCATATAGTGTAACGTTTCTTCAGAGATGCGAGGAAGAAGGGGAAAAAAGGTATCTTAAAATATTTTAGAAGCTCATTGAAAATAGTATTCAAAAACCAGATTACTACCCCCACTAAATTATCAGTCACTAAATGCATCAGTTCTCATTTTCCAAATCACAATCCCTTGGGCGAAAGCTGTTTGAAGAACAGGAGGAAAACAGAGGCATCTCTGGTTTGAGAAACCCTATTTACAGGAGTTTGTAAAACAATATAGAGATTCAGGTATAAACTGTGAGTGATTATCCTTGTCCACCTTGCTTATTGTTAGAATATAGGAAACAGAGGCATCTCTGGTTTGAGAAACCTTATTTACAGGAGTTTGTAAAACAATATAGAGAGAAACTATTTGTGTCTCTGTTTATAAAATTAGTTTCTAAAAACGTCATAGAGCCATTTAAAAAAAACCCCACTAAGCCTAATTATGAACATTTTCCTGGAATGGACACAACAGAAGGCAACAGACAGTGAAAAATCGTGGAATATATTTTCAATAGAAAAATCAATGCCACAATGCAGTTTAAATTGAAACGGTCTCCTTGAATAAGAATTGCTATCCAAACTATACATTACTACTATTAAGATTAAACGAGAAGAGCAGTTCATGGTACTTAGTGCTGGTTTCGCCCAGAAGGTTTCTTCTCTTTAATGTTACTCACATCATCTTCTTTGGTTCCACCCCAGAAATTAGTCCCACCAGCATAGCTGGGAATGTTTAGCACAGCTATGCCCTGCAGACTTGGAAGGGGGATGTACTGTCCGTCACACTGTAATGGATAAAAGTTCATTCAGTATATAAATAATGTGATAAAAGTAATCAGCCATTTTCAACACATGAAGCTTCAACAGAGTGGCAGGGGAAGACAGAGTCATTAATAGGTTTGACACAAGATACTTCCCTCCATGCTGTGAAGCATCTCTTAATACAAACCCCTCTTCCCCTATCATAGCACCAATTTTTGCAAGCTGAAAAAACACTAGTATCTACAGCAGAGGTGTGCCATGACTCTTCAAAGAAACATTTTTACAATTTCACATTTGGTTGAGTCTATTAAGCAGGGGAAAAAAAAAAATAAATTCCAAGAATATTTCTGGCATAGCCACAAATATGTAGTTAAATGTAAGTGTTGTTGGCACTTGTATACTTGCTTTTCTGTAAAAATAGCTCACTTTCCTCCCAAAATTGCAAAGGCAAATCTAGGACTGACCCCACAGCTGCTATCCTGGCCATGGCTAGGAGTTGTTGACTTCGCAGGTAAGAGATTGCTCCTATGACTGACCATTTATTCCCTCTTTCTTACCTCTTTATCTTCCAAAACCCATAAGCAACTCAACATGATCTTCAGGTCCTACTCAACACGATCATGGGATGACATAGGTCAGTCTTACCCTACTTATGGCCAAGAGTAAATTTGCAGACTTCAGTGAAATCACCTTTCACTGACAGCAGTACCACTGTCTGCAGAGGTGACCTCTGTGATCCCAAACCATTCAACTGGGAATCAAAAGTGCAGTCCTGCAGCAGTGCCACAAGTGTGGATTTGAAGTTGGAAATCAAAGGTCATAAATGCTGGATTCAGGTGTCACTTTGGGAATCATGAATTTGCAGGTAAAGTTGCCTTTGAAGAAGATTGCTAGATTACCTCAAGTTACCAGTCCCACAAAAGAACCTTAAAATTATACAAATGAAATAGAAATCCTCAGGAAGTAAGGAGAAAATCTGTACCAATTTTATTCGGAGGACAGATGAAAAATTATTTACAGAATGTGCTTAATGCTCTCTTTTTATGATTTAATTTCAGCAACAAGACAGAATTTAACATTTTAATCAAAATGTGACAGTATCCAAAATATGCTGTGATATTAATAGATGCTGCACAGCCATTTGTATTATAGTAGAGGTCTGCCTCCAATTCTTGAAATTGCTATTTTTAATTTTCCAGTGCCATGCATCTCATCACACATATTAGCATAAGACTAATATTATGCAAAGCAATACTAAATATGAAAATTCTACTTGCTGGTTTACTTCCAGAAATATTCAAAAATAATTACAAAAAGGTCACATTTGAATGCCTTATTGAATCTTATTTGAATCTTATTCGAATTTTATTCAAAAGATCCTTAAATTAGAATTATATCTGCAGCATACATAATGTTCTTTCCTGTCATTATATTCACTAACTCCTGCATAATTCCTTGATAATTACTCAGTTCTTTGAAAACAGCAATCTGCTGCTACCAGATAAAATCACCCTAAATCTCAGAGGAGTGAGAAAGAGTTCCAGTAACTTAAAATTATTCTTTCAACTTAGCAAGTTATCTTCATATAAATATCATGAACCTTCCTATGAAATGGTTACCATGAAGTAAAAAGAGAAATTATGTATGTTCTTGGTCAAAATCCAACCTAGATATTCTTTGGGTGAAAAAAACCTGTAACCATGCCATAGTCCTTTTTTCCATTTGGTATCATTTGTATCTCTTTTAAGTTCCCAGTAACATGAAGAAGACTTAGTTTTGGCATTAGAACTTAAAAGAAAAAAAATAACCATCTTTAGATAATTTATACTGCATTTGTTGTTGCTGTGATAATACCTTGCTTCTTTTGTATGGCAGTCTCAATCACATAAGTGAAGGTCTCTACTGGTGTAGCTGGGCTTCTTGGGATGCACATTTAGAACTTCCCCTCTTCTGTCAGGAATTTTTGACTAAGAACATCTGTGTGCTCTCTCTAGATGTGTAATCAAGCTTTCAGATAGTTTAAAATGAACCTAAGGGATTAAAGCTTCTTATCTCTTTCCTTCAGTTTAGTGCATGTTCATTTCTCTTATTGTCCTTAAAAACTGGTCTCCATCTCTGATGCAGTGAACACTAAGAATTATACCCTTTATATATTATATATGCAAGAAAATTTTTGAAAAAAAACCCCACAGTAATTACAGGAAATATTATACCAGGTATTTTGGGATATTCAGGCACTGACGTTTTACTCCAAGAAATCACCTGGGGAACCACCTCTTACATAGCGTTTTCACGGGGTCCCTTTGAGACCAGCTTGGGTTGACACAAGAACTCTAAGAGGTTTCAAGAGGAAGCCCAAATTATTCACTACACGTTGCAGAAGCAAAAATATTCATTCCACCCATAAATAAAATTTACCTCAAGTTGAACTTTTTGTTCTAAGTTCTTGTACGTTCTCTGCAGTAGCTCTTTTGTGCCAAGAACTCCATACCACATCATGTTTTTCGTCCGACTTCTGAAAACAGGTAAAGCAAGTTTCACATATTGAAATACACACATTTTTACATCTTGTATTTGTAGGATGAGAAAAACGTTAAGAAATTAAAATAAAGAGATAAGGGAAACAAAATAATGTCAATGTCTTGGCTCTGTCATTGACAATTATATTACCTGCACTTTTCAGGGTGTTCTTCTCGCTTGTTATTAAATTCTAGTGAAATTTTTGCATCTAACCCAATTCCAAAGTAGTTGTTCATGACACATTTTTCTGAATATCCCTCCCTGTTACAAGAAAAGAGATAATTAGGTGTACATTTGTACAGTACTTGGATACACAGAGCTTTGACCAAGACTGTGGTTGGTCTCAGAACAGGTGTATCAACCAAGAGACGTCAAGAGATGTCTCCTCTGAATCTCCCAAGGAAACTAAACAGCAGTCAAAGAGACAGACTGGCTGCTAGGTCCTTTGCAAAGTGCAGGTTACTTGCAAGTGCAGGGCAAAGAAGAAACTGTACTGCATCCCCATCCAGCACTATCTCCACCATACCCAAAATAACAGTGAGGTATGAGGAAAGAGTTGCCCTGGGCATGGCTCTGAGAGAGCAGCACGACTCCAGGCCAAGCACCCAGGCTGCGTTTAGGCATGCTGGTGCTAGATGTGTGGCTGATGCTGCTGGCACAGCAGTGCTTTATTTTAGGGGAGCCGTGGCCCACAAGCCAGATACCATCCATAAGTCTCTGCCAATCCTACACCCATTTCTGGGAAGCAGAGACAGCTTAGTACATAAAACTTCCATTTCACTGTTCCAGTCCTTAGGAGAACACTCTTCTTCCTCCAATATAAAGTACTCAGACTTGCTTCAACATCTTGCTGGCTGCTGAGCTTGTGTTCAGACCAGCGGTTTGGGGAGGAAAACCCAGCCCTGAGGGACTGCTGGCCTCCTCCTCCCAGAGCCAGTAGGCAAGGGTTAAATGAGCAAATGTCTCCTTTTAATTCTGCTGCTGCAAGACACTTTTCTACTACTCCTAACTAAAACAGCATGATCCAACCTGTCTTCAGACCTTGACATCTGCTGCCAAATGATAGCAAACAAGAATTTCACAATGAGAAAAAAAATTACAAAAAGGTTAAAAAAAAAAAAAAAGCTTAAGAAAAGCAAACTAAAGCAAAACAGTAAATTTGGAAAAAAAAATTTCTTACAGGGAATCTGGATCCGGGTCAATGAACGGCGTAGCACCAAATGGATCGATGTTTGCTAGCAACATTTTACTAATAATTGAACTTCCTGCAATAGAAGCAGCTAGACCAGCCCTCAAACCTGATTAAAAAAAAAAAAAACAGAAAAAAATAACAAAAACCAATTCATATTTGATAAACAGAGAAACTTATATTGTCATAATATAAGCCACATACTGAAAGACAAAGTTCATTAAGTCTGTATAAGGAATGATTGTGTTTCTATCTCATTTTTTACCTACATTGGTTATCTTTTCAGGTCTCTGGCTCTCTTGAGCAGAAAGGCAGCTATGCTGCTGTACAGTGGCTGACTAGCTGTCACCATTGAGAAAGAAAAAAAAATAAAATAAAAAAAATTAGGATTTCAGGCCAACACTCACTGGCTGGCATAGTAACCAAGTGGGTGACCTAACATCCTAAAAGGCTACTATTTATTTTTATTTAGTTTAATCTTCATCTCCAAATTGTCCATGATTTTCTTTTGGTCCTTTCCTTTCAAAATATTCCTAAGCAATATCCTTATCATTTTTACAACTGGTAGAGTTATAGTTTAACTTAATTTAATTTGTGGAAAGATCACAGCCTTCCCATGCCTACCTTGCTAACATTGATGCTACTCTACAAAACGCTGTGTAATGCATGTAAACAAAGAAAAGTACTTTCTAAAAGCTTTCACTTAAATTGACCTAAAGAAAAATGTAAGCACAGATCCATTATGTTCTAACTATACTACAGAAGTTAATTAAAACAATGTTTTACTGGTGCCCTATTGTATTAACTGCATCTGGATAAGAACAGATTTTTTTCAACTGTTAATTGCATTTAGTAAGAAGAGATTTTTTTTTTACAACTTTTTACTGCACAGCAGCTTTGTGTAGGTTCAGTTATCTGCCTCCAGAGAAGTATCTACAGGCATCTCTTATTCAGAGGGTTGAGCTTTATGTGGCTCTGTCCTTCAGCCCATTCATAGCCTCTATTGATTAGGATGAACAATAGAAGGACTTGGGGGTGCTGGCAGATGAAAAGCTGGACATGAGCCAATGATGTGCACTCGCAGCCCAGAAGGCCAACTGTATCCTGAGCTGCATCAAGAGAAGCGTGGCCAGCAGGTCGAGCGAGGTGATTCTGCCCCTCTACTCTGCTCTGGTGAGACCCCACCTGGAGTACTGTGTCCAGCTCTGCAGTCCTCAGCACAAGACATGGACCTGTCAGAGCAGGTCCAGAGAAGGACCACGAAAATGGTCAGAGGGTTGGAACACCTCTCCAATGGAGAAAAGCTGAGAGACTGTCCTGGTTTTTAGGGGTTGCTCAGCCTAGAGAAGAGAAGGCTCTGGGGACACCTTATTGTGGCTTTTCAAAATATAAAGGGGGCCTATAAAAAGATTGAGACATTTTTCGTGAGAGCCTGTAGTGACAGGACAAGGAGCAATGGATTTCAACTCAAATAAGGTAGGTTTATATTAGACATTCATTATGAGGGTGGGAGACACTGGAACAGGTTGCCGAAAGAACTTGTGGATGCCCCATCATTGGAAGTGTCCAAGGTCAGGTTGAATGGGGCTTTGAGCAACCTGATCTAGTGACAGATGTCCTTGCCCATGACAGAGGGTTGAACTAGATGATCTTTAGAGGTCACTTCCAACCCAAACCACTCTGTGATTCTATGATTCTAAGATCTTGAATTTAATTTTCCATCCTCCAGAATCAAATGCAACACTTCTGCTACATCTGGTGTTGTGCCAAATGATCAGGAACCTTCTACATTATTTTGCATTTCCTACTATATGATAGAACACAAAGATGTGTCAGTTCAAAGAAATTTAGGGTTCTTGGCATGAAGTAAAAATCTTTATTTGACAGCAAGCAGGGGAACAGAAGGCAATATTAAAGTAGTGTAAAGAACAACAGATTTCAAAATCATAATTACCTGGGCAGATAATCCTAGTGTTAAGCACTGGGAGGTTTTCCTTACTTGCAGCCAAAGCTGGAGCAGAGAAAGAGCCTGTCTGAGAATGGATACCTCGGCTTGTACGTCGATCGGGAGATCTCGGTGCAGTTTTAGCTGTGTAGAAGAAGTAAAAGTAAGAGCACTAATTAGACTTATTATGACATTACCAAATACATGTTTGTTACAGCTCTGAAAATATTTCAAAAGCATTAATTTAATCTGCTACATTCTATGACAAATGTCCTTCCCCCTCACACCACAGTTTTTCTCCTAAATACAAGGAAGAAAACTCAGAAACAGATCAAGTGACAAGCACAAATTAAAAAGAACAAGTGTACATGGCATTCAATATGACGAGTTCCCAACTTATGCTTCAAGCTACTAGCAAAAATTGAATTATATCTACTTTAAAATGCAATGGTATTTAATGCTCTAGTAAGCTTCTGATAAATATGTTAATGAAGCATTACAAATTTAAACTTAGATTCAATGTATATTTACTTATAAATATAGCTCATTATTATTTATAACAATTTTAATATAGGTAGCTATTCTAACCCATAGGGCCTGGAAATACCTGATCAACAGCCATGTTATTTGCTTCAAGCAGCTAAAATGGCCCCCCTACCTGCTTCAGGTTTCTGAAAACCTCAGACAAAACTCTGACATCTTTATCTATGGCTAACCTGAAAACTGTAGGGGAAGACAAAGCCACGTTCAGACATTCTTGCCTTCTGCAGTTAAAGAGATCATGAGGGAGATCGGCTCACCATCACCTTTTCTTTTTCACAAAAAACCAGAGCAATTCCCAAAATAACTTAAATAACTTATTTGTTAAAATTCTCCAGAAGATGGATCAATAAAAACTTGTGACAGATGATAGCAGTTTGGTAGCTGATCAAATTGTTGGTGGCAAAGGCAGGTAATAGCTCAGGAAAAAGAAGGAGAAGAAAATCAAGGGGAAAGAGAAAATTTTCACAAAGAGGAACTGGTAGCTCAGTGAGGCCAGTTATCCCTGGGGCTGCCTCTGGAGGTGATGAAGAAGAATAGGCTTTTCAGAGGGCAGACCTCAGGTGCTGTAATTTACTCTCCTAGCAGAACTTGTTTCATCCAGACTGAGAGAATATGCCAGTGCTTGCTTTAGCCTGAGGAAGTTAATATTTGTGAAATTCAGCCCCATCAGATGTAGCCAGAAATTGGTGCCCCAGGGAAGAAGTTTGGGTATTACTGAATGCTTTGCTATAGCATTTCCATCTGCACATAGAAAGCTTTTGCACACCAGATGATGATAAGATATTTCTTGGCTACCTCTGCTCCATATTATATCCATGTTAAAACTATTTCAGCTTAGAACAATTTCAACCTTGACTATCTGAAGAAGCTCAGAACAAAAAATCAAATAATTTCAAAGTGATCTGATACATACCTCTCAAAACCTGAAAACTAATTCAGCAAAAATAGAATGATTAGAACTGGCACCAAGAAAGCAGAAGAAAAACACCACCAGGAATGTGATGGGAAGGATAAAATACACCCTTTTTTGTGGCAGGAGGAGGACAGATCAGTTCACATCAATCATGATAACTCAGCCTGAGAGGAATGTGGGTGTACTGTATGAAGACATTAATGGAAAGAAAATGCAGAGTGGGAAAACCTAAAGACAAAGGTAATAACAAGAATCATGGTTTAGAAATTATTGTTAAAACCAATTCAGGCCAGGATTTGGGCATTCACTTTTTTTTAAGTGATGATAATCTAACACAGAACAGACAATGAAATAGCAAATTCTTCACCCTCTTGTATCTGAGCATTAAATTACACACCTTTCTGGATGACTTGCTTAAGTAAAATAGATATTATTAGATGCAGGACAGGGACAAGTGGGTGAAATTTTCTGGGCTGTTTTATATGAAAGGGCTGATTGAGTGGACTAACAGCTCCTTCTGACTTCAACATCTGTGTAATGGCCTTAGCAATTATCACAAAATGCTATAGTATTGCTTGATAACAATACAACACAATGATTTGTATCTGTGCATGACAAAACACTGTAATATGAAGTTAAAAGAAAGAAAAACTGCAAGTGATATCTATGAATTTATTAAATATTTAGATGAAGGTAATTAACATATGGAAAAATATTACCAATTACCAATCATCCAATGACCAGGAAGATTCTCAGAGGGTAAAATATAATATTCAGAACAAAATTAATAATTAATTTTTCATAATGCTACTGAAAAATTCACAATCCTGTTCACACAGTCTCTACTTGGGAACATGACAGTTACATTAAACAGGAAAATCAACAGAGCAGCTACTCTTTGACAGATGAGACTCATGGGGATAACTGCAATAAAGATAAACTTTTGCTGTTCATGCTCTGATAAAAACAACAGAGCCCTAATGAGTAAAACTGATGTTTCATTGCAGATAATTGAATTCATGTTTCATGCTTTGTCCCTAAACACCTATCTTCCACTGCCAGTATTAATATGCACTCTATTTCACACATATCAGATATATGAAGAGTAATACAGTTCCCCAATAAATACAGAAATTGTATCACCAAGAAACAATTTATATATATTTCTACATATGAATACACATATTTGTACATTTTCATTTTATTGTATATTTATAACAGTAGGATTGGGTCATCTGTAGGGCCAACATCCTCTATGAGCTACTACTGAAACTGGACAACCAAAAAGCATTGATTCCTGTAAACAAGGGAAAAGGGGAGGGGCCATTGAAGAGACAATCACTGAAGAAAGTCTGAAATCCTTTTCTGGAGAAAAGGAGTCTCCTTCTCTGGAGACATTCAAAACCCGCCTGGACACCTTCCTGTGTGATGTCATTTAGGTTCCTGCTCTGGCAGGGGGATTGGACTAGATGACCTTTCGAGGTCCCTTCCAATCCTTAACATTCTGTGATTCTGTGATTCTGAATCAAGAAAAGCCCCAACAGACTAATGCAGTAGCTACCAACACAGTCGCTAGCTTCAGTGCAGAGCCTCATGAGGACAACACGAGGGTGTTGGTGTCGATTAGGGTAACAGAAGGAGATGCGAATCCCAAACAACTTCGCTCATTTTGCCACAGGAAGTTGCTCACCAAATATCTCAAGGATGGCTTTTGCTGTCCACCAGCCACCACTGTTTTTCCACTACTTGTAGATCATCTGAAGACCTCACCTGCAGTGCATCACTGTCCACTTTGGTAACATAGCAAAGACTGAAACTTCCACATATAGTAAGAAGAAGCTTTTCTAAAATTGCTACACCGCTTGAGACTCTTGAACAACCCTGGCATATGAACTGCCAGTCAACGCAAAATGCAGTACTGACATCTGTGATGGAAAATGTCCAAATATGACCTCTGTCTGGATTGGCTTGGTGCCAAAACCAAGCAAGGGAGGAGGTAAGTGAGGGTCCCATATAGACAAATTGTCCTTCCTTCTTCCACTGCAGCCAATCACTGGCAGATTTCATGAAGGACATACAGAGAAGAGATTTTACCCCATCATTTGAATGTGGGAATTAGTACTACGCTATTTAAGGAAATGACTATTCTTTCAATATCATTTTACGCACAGTAACCAAACACTGAAAAGCCGAACGGAAAGCTTAGTGACAAAATGGGCTATTACTTTATGAAAATGCTACGTTTCAAGCAAGTTGCTTTAAACTCAGATCACTCAATATTCTGTTTGCTTTGTACAATTATTGATACAAATAATACAACTGGGTTCTTTTTGTTACATTCTACCTTTTTTTGGAACCTGCAAAGCCCCACAGTGAGGACAGAACGATGCTCCCACAGGAAAGCAGGACCACTCGGACAGCAGCAGCTGACAAAGAACATCTGACCAAGGAAAGAGCGGGTAGGGGGTTCTACAGCTTGGAAAGCAAGAACAGCTTGGTATAGTGGCTTGCCATATATATAGCTTGCTATAAAGCAGTAAGTAGCTGCATGGAACTAGCTGGTTCTGGGACAACAACACAAGAAATTTTTCATGGGAAGGAGCCCTAGGTTCTTGAAGACTTTGGTTCAAATTTCTGCTCTGGATTAGGCAAATAGAGGGGGTGATCTTAGTACTGCCACTTCTCAGAAGACTTCCATGCTCCAATGTCTGTTATTTTATTTCCTTCTTTATATTGTTCCACTTCATATAGTGGATACAAATATTCATTCTCTCTGTCTCCCAATAACTGTCTCAAGGTAAGTTCCCAGCAGAGACATCAGTTTGGTTGTCAATACAATGAATAAATACATCTGTTCCACACAATTTGAAACCCCTTCAACAGAAATGGTTGACAGAAATTCCTATAATGTACCCTAAAATGCCTACAACTGATACATGCTATTGCTAACATTACCCAGGCTCTAGTCCCTGCTCAGGGTCATGTAGAAAGGTGAGTGTAAACACTGGATTAAATGCAGGCATTTCTCTCCTCAACAAATATCTTCTCAGCTTTGCAAATCCTTTCCATAAGATTGTTGATCTCATCTCCCACATTTTTCCCACAAATTTTATTTATCCAAATCTATTAAAATCTGTGACTAGTTTTCAATGAAAAAGTATGCTAGTAATTTTAATTATCGAGCCAAATATGCTCCATAATGTAACTATAAGAAAACAGCATAATTTTAAATTATTTTATTCCTAATTTACTCACTTGATGGGGACTCAAGCTCCTTTGTATCCTCCTCTTTTTCCTCTTCTTTGCATTCATCCAGTTCTTTGCTATATTCTAGTGGAGACTGGTTCAGTTGTTCTTCACTATGAGCATTCTGCTCATCCACAACTGCTTATTAAAAAGAAGGACAGTGAAAGTGTCAAGATGTTTAAAGAAAAACTGGATACATGGAAAATTAGCTTATTTTTTTTCTGTAGCTTTAAGTTTAAAAATATTAACAAAAGACTTCTATTGCCAATTCAGTGAAAAAGAGTCTAGCAGTCCTTTGTCCATTGATAAAGATTTGCTGCCAGGAATTTTCATTTTGTGGAAGATAATAGTTAGAAAAGAAGTGCATTATTATATGTGCATACATGTACATAGATATGTATTCATATATGCAGTCTTCAACCTCCAAACAAGCTGCATTTCTTTTCCTTGCAGCTTGTAATAAGCATATAATTTTATCTGTGTAATAATGCAGAAACCAAACATTAATAATGAAACTTTATGCTAGTTTAAAGAAAAAAAAGTATCATTATTCTATCAGTAAGGATCAAAACGTTGCTGATACACACCTTTTTCTGCTTGTTCAATGATCTGCCTCACAGCCTTTTTCAAGCTGTTTGCCCGGAGCATTAACTGTTCCCTTGGTCTGAAAAGTTTCTGGGTGGAAGACTTTGAGACACACTCCACTAATTGCTCTTTACTTTCACACAAGGATTCTTCACTTGAAAACTCTTCTGCTTCTTCTTCTACAATAGGGGGAGTGATGCCTGGGAGAACGGGAGCAGCCTGGGCTTCTGTTTGAAGAGCCTGAAGCAATAGGTCTAATTTCTCATTTAACTCAGAGCACTAAGACAAAGTGGAAAAGAATACACACAAACAAAAAAAACCCAGTGAACATTTTCATGAAATTAAGTACCAGATTATATTTTAAATTGTCAGTGTCTTAAGGGGGATTGGACTAGATGATCTTTTGAGGTCCCTTCCAATCCCTAATATTCTGTGATTCTGTGAAGTGTCTATGTAATTGTTTAGGTAAAATCCAAATCTGGGTTCAACATTTTAAAATATCAGATTATGAGTAGGTCTGCATGGTTTAGAGCAATTATAACAAAAAATCCCTACAACTCAGATTAAAATAAGACACCATGCTAAACTCAGCCTGACACATAACTAGGGTACAGATTAGATCTTACTCCTCTCCCGATGGCCTGCAGCGCACCACGGACTTGCCCTTACCATGCATTGTAAGAAATTATGGGTGCTTAGTACTCCAGTTTGGAGATATAATCCATGGGGAAATGTCCAGCTGTTAGACTGAGACACATGGGGCTGGTTTTGCAAGACAGCTGTACATTTAAGCAAGTGAGCTGTCACAGAGCAAAGAGGCTCAAGCTAGAACCAAACACTGTCAAACACATCTACCCATCATTAAGCAGTTGGTCTCTCTAGGTACACTGGAAAATAGGTGATTTTCTGTGCTTAAGTGAAAAGAAACCAACACTGTCTGGCACTGGAACAGTAAAAAAGAAAAAAATCATTCTCTAAAATGCGCACTGAATAGAAATGTGAACCAGGAACTGCCACTCAGCAAGTACATTTCCTGTCTCTGGGGTTGTTAGTGATTTTGTTTTCTTCTTTTCTTTTCAGCTCATGTAAATTTTGTGCCTCATACCAAATCCTTCTGATTTTTGTTTCAATGCTTTTGCAACATGACCTCTACAATTTGCACCTTAAAGTATTATTTTTAACACTGTAGTCTCGCTTCCCTTCATTCTCCCAGCATCCTCTCTCTTCATTATCTCATTGTCTTTCTGTAGCCGACTTAATCCCTAAAAGTATAACTCCTAATGTAAAAATATTTCCTTTTATCTCTATGTACGTTACTGTGAACTTTATCCTTTATGAAGGAAAAAAGTGTAAACAGAGTTCACAGAGATCTTAGAGTTTAAAGATGGTTAGGAAATAATCATTCTATGCAATAAGAAGAGAAAAATTTTAAAGTCACTGATTGAAATAAAAGCCAAGCTGGGCAGCCTGCAACAATCTGAAAATTAAACACCCATGAGCTATAAACTTTAAAAAACCTGCAACTTTAAACCAGAATATAGTCATAGTCTTACTTTAATGGCCATGGCATCAGCTTCCTCTGCATTTTCCATTGCTTTTTCATAAGTCTTCCCTATTTTGGCAACAAAGTCCTTTACTGTTTCACATAAAATTCTTGAGATAAAAAAAGGAAAGGGGAGAAATCAAATTGAATTAAACAGATATGTTTTGAATATTAAATTCTTACAGCAAGTTATTTATATACATACTGCTACACATCGTTCTTGTTGCAAACTGAACTCTGTGACCATACTTGCAAAGCAGATGATATTCTTTTCTATGGCTTGCAATACAATTTGAAACAAAAACTCTTCCGCATTTTTATTTAAGCCTTTGCACACATTGTATCTAAATCTCTTTTTTCTAAGAACTGAAATTATCACAACTAACTTTATCCATTCCCTTGCTTGTATATCTTCCATACCAGAGGAGTTAGCAAACTTGCCTTCACTTTGAAAACTTCAAATACTGTCTTGCAAACTCCATGCAAAGGTGGAGCCTAAAAACCATGGAGAAAAATCTACTGACTTTAATGGAGTATATCATCACACACGTCCCATTGCACCGCTCCTGCTTTTCAACCACAGCCAAACCTGAGGTGTATGTATCTATGAAAACTACAGTGGCTGCAATGAATTTTCAGCATGTAAATCAGAGAAAGACTTAGTTTTTATTATTTGCATTGCAGACAGACAGCAAACTTAATAACAAGGTGTTGATAATTACTTAACACTGTTCATTTAGTTGGAATTTATTTGACAGAAATAAAATAGATTTAACAAGATACAGACCCAATTTAGAATGTGGAGTTATAATAATATCCTGCAGTTTAATTTTCAACATGTGCAATGAATACTTTAAAAATGAAATTTTATTAACTTGCTTTTAGCAGGAATAAAAAAAAAAGAGATGTAAAGATATTCAGCTGTTATTTTGAAGATTCTATGACTGGTCTTTTGCATATCACAAAATACAAGATGTTTTTTCCACAGAGAAGGTATACACAGAATACTTCTGACTTCAGATTATGTCCAAGATTTGCCAATGCTGATCCCTCATTTTTAAGTGTTTCTATTTGGGGAAAAAAAACCCTGTTGTCTGAGACTACTATTTATTGAACTGATACAGACAGAGCTATGACAAAGCTACCTAGCCTGAAGTTTGCCTTCACATTGGTGAAGTTTCTTGTCCTGTTAATGATATGGATATGAAAAAAACAAAACATAAAAAATGTAATGTGAATTAGATCACATATTGCATCAGTAATAGTAAGTTTCATATTTAAGCTGCATGTTAAAATCACTTTATATATTAATATTATTTGGTATATTTTTTAAATGGTGATCATTTAGAATTAAGCTATCCATTACAACTGTACCATAAAAAAATTTTGCAGAAAAAAACATCCCCTCTAAAATATATAAATTAAGGTATATCAAGCCAAGCAAGCCAGGCCAGCCATAAGAAAATCAGGCTCACACAGAAGGTTATTATGGTGATGATTTTACACACGGGATTTATCCCACAGGAGCCACCAATGTGTATCTGCAGCCCAGAAGGCCAAGCGCATCCTGGGCTGCATCAGAAGAAGTGTGGCCAGCAGGTAGAGAGAGGTGATTCTGTCCCTCTACTCTGCTCTTGTAAGGCCCCACCTGGAGTACTGTGCCCAGTTCTGGAAACCACAACACAAGACCTGTTGGAGCGTGTCTAGAGAAGGGCCACAAAAATGATCAGAGGGCTGGAGCACCTCTCCTATGAAGATAGGCTGAGAGAGTTGAGGTTGTTCAGCCTGGAGAAGAGAAGGCTCCAGGGGGACCTTATAGCAGCCTTCCAGTACCTGAAAGGTGTCTAGAAGAAAGCTGGGGAAGAACTGTTCACAAGGGCATATAGCAATACAATGAGGGGTAATTGTTTTAAACTAGAAAAGGGTAGATTTAGGTTGGATATTAGGGAAAAGTTCTTCAATATGAGGGTGGTAGATCATTGGAACAGGTTGCCCAAAGAGGTGGTGGAGGCCCCATCCCTGGAGATATTCAAGGTCAGGCTTGATGGGGTTCTGAGCAACCTGCTCTAGTAAAGATGTCCCTGCTTACTGCAGGGGGGTTGGACTAGATGACCTTTGAGGGTCCCTTCCAACCCAATGTATTCCATTATTCTAATTAAAAAGAATCAACTCACTTGGCAGATGATATGACAACTGAGTGCTGATCAGAATTGAGAATTTTTGCAAGATGAGCAGCAACTGAGTCCTCATAAGCAGATATCTGAAAACAGAGAAAAGAGACTTAAATTTCCACACATTTCAGCGTTTTAACACCTACTAGTGAGTTAAAACACCTCCAAAAATAGCAGGATTTCCATTTCAGATCTAAGGACAGGCAGCTAGCCATGCAGATGCTACCTGCATACTATATTTTATTGTGCCAGATTTTTAATATTCAAAGTAACACTGCATCTGAGAACTTGGTCCACAGCTCTTTTCTTCCTGTAGAGAAAACAGCAAGTTATTTCTAGGCTAAAAATAGTCCATGAGGGAGAAAAAAAAAAATCTACCTTATTTTTAGATTTATAACAACCTAAATTATTATAATCTAATATCATATTTCTAAAACAAGCGATGTTTCCCTCAAACTAAGCTGCTCAACTAAGAATAAATCAAAAGTTTGCAGTTATAATCCTGAATTTTCTTTTTACTGTCAGATGAGATCTTACTCCCCAAGTACCCCTACAGACAAAGGATGCTGAATCAAAACCAGTCCTTAAGGAGTTTAGTCTTTACAAGAAAGTCTGGGAGAATGAATGTGTGCACTGTCCATCTCTTCTTGCATAGAAAATACTGAAATACTCAGGCAAAGATTTGGAATAGATCAGATTCACATCTTCACGCACTGTATCCTGCCTTAAAATAGGCATGGATCCAGATCTCAGTTTTAAAAGAAAATTCTCACCAAATTTCAAATCTGAAGCTAAAAATAAATGCAGTTCTGAAGTTCTGAATTTTTTTTATGGCTTCTTTAAGAATCTCCTAAAACCTCTTAGTGTGTTTTTGCCCTTGATAAGGCACAGGTAGATATACCACCTTTTTTTTCTCCTAAAACCCAGCCTTAGTTGTAGGACTTGTACAGTGAATCAGTTTTCATGTCAAGGGAAAAAACAAGACATAATCATCTGATCTGTAAGAACGAGCTACTTCTGTTCAAACATCAGTATAAGATTTTGGAACCAAATCAAGTGAAATAAGTCTCCTGAAACTGGAGGAAAGAGAAAAAAAGAAGAAACAGATATGTACTTTTATTTACTTTTTGAACTGTGCTTTAATACATTACCTACTGTTAGGTTAATTATTATTTTTCTGAAATATCATAACTCAATAAAAGATGCAAAAAACCTTAAAACAGAGATTGAACAGGGTACTCAAAAGAAAACTTCTTTGTCCAACTCAGAGTAATGGCAGGGAACTACCCTACAGAACTGATTTTCCAAAAAAGAAGTTTTATATGAGCAGTTCCTTCCATTTTCAGGAGGGACTAAACATAATTTCAAAGCCAGGACTAACTAGAACAAAATGCTTTTTTTTTTTCCTTTACAAGATGAAAATACACTTGAAAATTGGTCTGCATTGCTGACACTGGAAACAGCTGTGTGCAAAGCAAGCCCATTAAAATCCCAGCCAGTGGAGCCCCAGCCTTTTTGCATCTCTATATTCAGCAAGCTGTCAAAGGTTATAACCTCCTTGCCAATTAAAACAGCCTGAATTATTAAATTATTCAAGAACCTGCTGATTAATTATTGCTTCTCAAGTACTTTTGAGCTGAAGCTGATATGCATTAACTTTCTCAGGAATATATTATTTTCTCATTTTTAGTCAGACTTTTCATGCCAATTAATTTGATTAAAGCATATCCCCCTCTCTCAAAATCGAAACCTCATCAGATAGTACAAGCACAAATCTAGTCTGAAAGTCAGACGAAGCTTTCCTTTGAGGTCACTTACGATTTCGAGCTCTCTGAAAGAACAAAGAGAAAGTTGGGAGGTATCACCTGACCTAACTCAAGCTGCAAAAAGCTTCTCTTCCAGAATAGAATCCTTACCTTCAAAATGTTGGGTTTTTTCCACGTTTTTTCCAAACTGAAGATACCAAACATTTTGCTTTTATACATATGGCCTTTGGCAATATAATTGTATTGGGTTTGTGTGGCAAGGTTTTGGTAGCAGGGGGGCTACAGGGGTGGCTTCTGTGAGAAGCTGCCAGAAGCTTCCCCTGTGTCCAACAGAGCCAATGCCAGCCAGCTCCAAGATGGACCTGCTGCTGGCCAAGGCCAAGCCTGTCAGTAATGGGGGTAGCACCTCTGTGATAACATATTTAAGAAGGGTGAAAAAGTTGCTGTGTGACAGCAACTGCAGAGAGAGGTGTGGTGTGACAATATGTGAGAACAACAACTCTGCAGACACCAAATTCAGTGAAGAAGGAGGGGGAGGAGGTGCTTCAGGTGCTGGAGCAGAGATTCCCCTGTAGACCACGGTGAAGACCATGGTGACGCAGGCTGTCCCTCTGCAGCCCATGGAGGTCCATCATGGAAGAGATTTCCATTTTGCAACCCATGGAGGACCCCACACTAGAGAAGGTGGCTGCACCCAAAGGTGGGTATGATTCCATGGGAAGTCCATGCTTGACCTGTCCATTCCTGAAGGACTGCATCTCATGGAAGGGACTCACACTGGAGCAGTTCATGAAGAACTGCAGCCCTTGGGAAGGACTAATGTTTGAGAAGTTCTATGGGAGGTGGTCCCCATGTTAGAGGAGAGGAAGAGTGTGAGGAATACTCCCCCTGAGGAGGAAGGAGTGACAGAGACAATGTGTGATGAACTGACCACAACCCCAATTCCTTATTCCTCTGGGCTGCTGGGGGGGAGGAGGTAGAGAAAAATTGGGAGTAAAGTTAAGCCTGGGAAGAAGGAAGGGGTGAGGGGGAAGGTGTTTTTAAGATTTGGTTTTATTTCTCATTATCATACTCCGATTTGATTGGTAATAACATAAATTAATTTCCCCAAGTCAAGTCTGCTTTGCTCATGATGGGTCATTTGTGAGTGATCTCTCCCTGTCCTTATCTCGACCCTTGAGCCTTTCATTGTATTTTCTCTCCCCTGTCCAGCTGAGAAGGGGAGTGACAGAGCACCGTTGGTGGGCACTTGGTGTCCAGCCAAGGTCAACCCACCACAAATAATATATATAAACTAATTTATATATTAAAATATGTATTTTTAGGAAGAAATTTTTCTGACTGTTCTGCTGAAGACTCCTTACCTTCACTCATTTTTGTCATATAATACAGAATCTGAAACCCTAATTATTTGAGATCCACGCCATTAACAGATGTTAACTCCGTTCAGTTAGCAGAAACATCTGTTTCTATTTTTCACACAAGTGCTTCAATTGTAAATATTGTCATCCCAGAAGCTCAAAGTTAAGTATATGAAAAAACAAAACAAAAGTAAAAATCCACCTGGCATTCCTCTGCCTCTTCTGCAGTCACTGGAAGAATAGAAGGCTTTGCTGGTAATTTCAGTTCATATGACATTATACTCCACCTGAGAGAAACAACAGCTTTTAAGTCTCCATATTGTTAGTTTTATCTTTTCTCCAACATACCAACAAAAAGAAAATTCCTTGTCACACCACAGAATAACTTGTTGGTTTTCAGGGTTTTTTTTAAAAAGAAGCTTATTTTTTAATTGTAAGCCAATTGCATATGGGTGAAATAATTGAGATTAATGATAATTTGTTTTATTGCTCAGATTATTTGTTAGCAATTTGATGATGAGCATTATCTGTGAACAAATCATGGGACACTCAAAGCAGGCAACACAGATTTTCCAGCAAAACATTCACAATATAAAAGAATTTGTGCAAACTAACTGCAGAAGTCAAAGGAAAATAGATGTGTTTCTAGAGAAAAAGCTCTAAGGTAACATTAGCTTTTCATGTCAACTAGGGGAGGCAGGCATGAGAACAAAGCAAATAGTGACATATCTTCATTGACATATATATATATTTTTCCCCTGGTAAAGGACAGTACTGTACAGCATAGATAGTATGAAACTGCTAATAGCAACATCCTTCAAAGCCTGCTGAAAAGAACAAGCAATCACTGCACATGGCTTTGGGAACAAGTCTACTGAATTTAGAGCAAAAGATGAAACTGAGCTTTTTTTCAGTACAGAAAAAGGCAAACACGATTTAATCTACAAATCCTTCAGAATGTCGAGGCTGAGAATTATTTCTAAGGATCAGTAAAAAGCATTTCTCTACATACTTTGCTGTAAAATGATCAAGTAGTCTGCAGAAAAGCTTAAAATAAAAAAGGCCTTGTTTCTCTCTTTCATTAAAAAACTCCTAAAATAAAATCCCCTTTAATGACATTCAAGTGTTTGTAACTAGAGCAAGAACAGAAACACCCATGACAAAGGAGCAGAGTAAGAAAAAATCCTCTCAAAACCATTGTGTTACACTTTCATTGGATCAATATGATCACCACCTTCTCCGATTGCTCCTTTGCTTTATAGATGGAAACACACAAAATAAGGAGTGGGAAGATCTCTTGGTTTTGACTAAGAAAATGACTCAAACAGAAATATTAGTAGTGCATCAAGCCAAAGATCCAGTTAGCACAGCATCTTGTCCACAGCTGATGCCTCAGGAAATTATATGAAGGGTGAAAGCACATGATGCGAGTTCTCTCCACATCCAAGGACAGAGAGCTCAGCTGTTTCCTAAATAAAGATGCCACCTTTTATAGCATTTAATAGCATGTACAGTGTCCATAAAACTGCCTAAAATGGTTTTGAATCTATACAGTTTCTTAATGCTTATATGCTTAATGCTTATAACTTCTTGTAACAGGCAGTTATGCAGCTTCACCACTTGTGCAATAAACTGTCACCTCTTGTTCCTCTTTGGACAACACGCTTCCTAGTTTCATCAACCACTCTCCCTTCAACTCTTCAGTTTAAAAAGGACATTGAAGTCCTGTCCCCATTATTGTCTCTGCTTCCCTTATGATTATGATCTGCATCCTAAAAACTAAAACCACTGAACACTAAGTCTCTAAGACGGATTTAGGCCAGCAGAAACCCAAACAGATACAATTTGAATCTCATGGTAAATGATGTATATGCACATTTAGGTTTACCTGTCTAACATTTTTGTGCTGGCTCGTTCTAGTTTCTCCAAAATCTGAGGAAGTTGCGTATCATCATCACAGGATCCTCCCCAGCCAAGGACACGAGCAAGGTCATTTCCAGTACCAAGGGGTAACACTCCTAACTGACACTGAAACACAACACAGGAGCAAATCTACTAGTGAAAACTAGAAAGAAAAAGTACAAACTATTAAAAATGCTTGTTATTTCAACCAACAAATGTCAATTATATAGCTGATGTATAAAGTTTGTAAATCTAATAGTGCAATCCCAATAGAACTTCTCCTGTTTACACCAGTGAAAATTTTAATTTAACGGTAACTATTGAGTTTGGTCTGTATACAGAGATATGACGAAGAACCAAGTCAAGGAAAAGTAAGCATACAAAATTAAGTCTAGTCAGTATAGTCAAAGAAAGTAAGTATGCACACTTGCCTGCTTGTGCAAGCTGAGCTTATCAATCTCTGACAAGACCCAACCCACGCTTCCATCTCCGCCACACACAAGAATCCGGAAGTTGTCAAACTTTTGAAATAACCGCAAACTGTAGAGAGAAAACAGCCTGTTAGAACAAGTTACGTCCATTAGTGAGAGAGCAGTTATATTAATCAGCAATTGTTATAAGAAAATATGGTGCACAGCACCTCTATGATCCTTCTCTTATTGTTCTGGGCTATGTGGATACAATGATCTACTTAACAAACCTATCTGCATCCCATCTGTTGCTGAATATTCCACGTTTCTGATAAATAACATGCCACGTTTTATACTTTAAAAAATTCCCTTGATATTGTTTTCAGGATTTCATTAACATTATTTTATTAATAGTCTAAAAAAAAATTTCTAAGCTATGAAATTGCAACTGCTCTTTGTTTCCCACTTCAGCCAGAAGCACGAGGCACCACTGGGGATTTTTCATGACAAGAGGTTAAGACACAATGACAAGATGCACTCCACAATACAGGTGGGTTTTTGCCAACACGTGACTAACCAAATGCAAGGCCAACTGGAGGCAATTATTACATGTAAGGTGATCACAATAATATAACACAAATAATACAAGTATTTCATATTAGGTCCTTAAAGCCGTATCCTGCTTTTGCTTCCTACGGCTCTTCCTTCTGTTTTCTGACTTTTCACACCTCCAGGATACAACACTTGGGCAGTGCAGAAAAGGAGGACAGGAGAGACAAAACAAATAGAAAGGTAAGACACATAGGAAAGGGGAATGAGGTGGAAAGAAACAGCCAAGAGGTAAAAACAACAGGGATTTAAACTTAAAAAACCCCAAAGAATAATGTATAAGCTCTTAAAAGAATAAAAATAAAGATGTTTATTTTTAACGCATGTTATTTTCCAGAGTATCTATAATCTCAAGACTATTTCTAAAAAGCAACATATTAAGATCACAATTTTTTGAAACATTTCTATTTTTTCTAAGGAAAAAAATGTCACTTGATATATGATAGGCAGATATCTATTCAGAACAAAAGATGCAAATATTTAAGGAAAAAATGTTGATACCAGAACAATTTCTCCTACCCTGAGGAAAGGGAGAAAACCCCTAGAAATAATACTGTCTCAAATAATACAGCTCTGCTTTTTAGATCAACTAGAAGAAAAAAGGCATCAGCATAACCTGACAGAATAACTATTGAGGACCTCCCTTTGGAAACTGTTTGGGAAAAATATTTAAAAGCAACCAACCTGACCTACAATTACTGTGCAAAACCAAAGTGGGCCTCGTGAACCATGCTGCTGTTACGTACAACTATACGAAGTAAGAGAACTTGCAGACAGACAGACATATTTTTCAGACTGTCCTCTCTCAAAAATTGGCTCTCCAGTTAATATGAGCTTTTATCTGCCATTACAATTACACGTACAAAATGTTAGCCAAAAGGAACTTAGATTAAATTCAGATTATCAGGGTTATAATTAAAATAATATTACAGCTTTAAAAGTTAATGTAACATGTTTATAACACAATATTAATTACAAAAGTCCACAGCTGTATTCCATTACATTTGTATTATTTGCCCACTGTTTGAACTGAAATGTTGTGCATTTGTTTCATCTACATTTTTATCATGCAAGCATAATTCTGCATCTTTAAGAGCAGAAAAATTAGTGTTTCTAGTTGCTGTAACTGATATTAATAGGCCATTTAACCACAATGCTACATCTGAGTGGAATTTAGTTAGGCAACGGAAAAATGTGCATGCATTTCATCTTTATGAAGGTGCAAAGTGCCTGGGTTGTGGCCACTGCTATGCAAATTTCATCCCTATCTCTCCCAACAATCAACCCTTAGATTTTTCAGAATGCCTGATGGTTTTAATTGTGCTTTTGTTCCAAATTTTGCAAGATGCTCATTTTCTTGACCATTTGCATATGTTGCCTAAACCATACTTTGAATATTATTTTCAGATGACAAAAGTTTTAGTGTACTAGTCCATCACCCACTGCAGACTCCCCCACTGGCATTTGCATTCAGAATTCAAAAAGATAGAGTACATTTAGACAATAGTTTTATTCCATAGCTGTTCACAATAAAGTCACAGGAATATCTGAATCGTGCATATGAAATGGAAGAAAAGCACCTGCGCAACTGTGCATAAAGGCCCTGATTCAGGAAAGCATCTAAACCTTTGTAATGGCTTTGAACCTTACTAGTTTAACAGAAATCAAAGGTAGCCAAAAAGCCACAAAACATTTGGGCTGATAGGTTTTAGTTTTGAATTTTTGAGTGAGTTTTTCTAAAAAGAAAACATTACCCTACAATCCCTTCACCCACCGGAATTCATCCTGAAATTCTGTTACCACTCAGATTTTAATTAGGAAGTCACAGTAGATATTGGTGATAGAATTATAGCAACGAGGGGACAACACAACACTATACTTTACACTAAATTCCCTTTTGGAAAGGATTGCTCAAGATTTCCAAGGTCATTACCCTAAGTGAGGTCCTCCATTCATTAAATCGAACACCTGAGCTGGATTTAACGACTGTTTGAATCGACGAAGAAACTTTACTCCCTGATTGTCTCCACTCTTTGAGTTAACAAAAACTAAAAGAGGACTGGCACAGGATGGCGGGCATGTGGCTTTCCAGAAACCTGTGAACACAGGTAGAAAGAATGAAATAAATAAGGTTTTCTAATATGAACAACACAAAAAGAAATCATGGTAAAGAGTAAGAAAGGGATGAAGGACAAAGGGAGTACATTTTATCATGCATAATGTAAATGCTAAACTGAATATTAGCCCTGCAAGCAAAACATGACTGCTCAGGATTTACCAGTTCATTTTTTTTCTTTCCAGTATTTTTAGTGCCTGGATTTAGGGATTTAGTAAAATCCTGAAGACAATAGCTTCATTCTTTTTCCACAGTGAAAAAGTTTATTAACTTTTTTAAATACTTCTCAAATCTGATCTTCATAGGTTATTGCCTAATTAAATATATATTTCAGTTACAAGTGTTTGGTATTTAATCTGATTTTTCTTTTAATGTTACTGGGTTGAACTGGATTATCCACGTTTGTATGAGCTTTCTAAAAGTATTCACAGATTTTAAAAGTTACTGTGCTCAGTTGCTCCCAGGTGAGACTTTGCATGAGAACCTTTTTCTCAGATTGAAGTTACACTATTAATTATAATAGACCCACTGAACAACAGACCTTCAGCTATGACTCAAAGCTTCTTAAAGTCAATGCAGGTCTTAACTAATTACAGCAGGCTTTCTGTAACACCCTTCCTAAACTGTAGTAATGGACGCTGTTGTCACTAAAATGACCAGTCCATGGAAGCAGTGGTTTCTCAGCAACACTTCAAAATCAGCTATCACAGGTATAGGTTTTGACTTTGTTTCAGGTAATATTAAAATGACTATGTTGTTTTGAAAAACTAAAAACATTACTAAAGCTGCAAGTAAAAATTGGCATTAAAGGATGCTAATTTAATTCCACAGTATCATGATGTATAATTTAAAAGAAGGTTTGTTTAATTTATTTAAATGCCAAGAAAAATAATTTCACATATGGAACAATCTTCCTAGCATGAATAATAAATAGCAGCATGACGCTGTGGTCTAAGACACCACACAGCAAGTAAACAGAGGGAATATATACAGTGTAAACAATCACTTTTACTAACTTCATACAATCAAATTAATTCAATTTTGTTAAAGTTGTCAGTCTACATTTGCCGTCAACACAAACTACAAAATTAAAGCAGTTAGATTTCATGATACTCCTTGTTAAACCCACTCCCTGCCTTCAAGCGCAGTCTCCCATTGCTCACGTCTCTATCCTGAGCCACCAAAGAGCAGCTCTGAGTTTTGAACATTTGCTGGGTTTTTATATTTGTGTTGCAGTATTCTTACACTGCTTACATTTAAAAGAAATTTAGAGAAGCTATGGAAGAAAGTCCTCTTTTTAGCCTGGTAAAGTAGTTGTTGGATCTGAGCTGTGCAGCAAGCTTATGTCTGCACAAAGCAAAGCTATCTAAAATCTAAGAACTCACAGAATGTCAGGCAGGTAGCAGCTCACGTCATCTGAGGACTCTGGTCATTCACTTGAAAACTTTCCAAGGGTCATAAATTAAGTGGGAGGAAATTTCTAGTGGGGGAAGCTTTCAAAAACATTTTTTAAATCATGTCGGTTTAATAATCCTCTAAAAAGCTTCATGGAAAATTATTCTTTTATTTATAATCTGAAGACTGCATTCACCTGCGCAGCAGAAGAATTTTAGCCTTCTTTAGTTATACAGATCTCACTAGGCACTGCAAGCCCAGAGCTACCACTGAACATACTACAATACTACGTACCATCGGAGTCTATACTGTTTAGTGCTGTTGGAGGTATGATCGATACCTTACATTGGCCAAGTGGACATTTACGTGGATATAGATCTTTACAGGCAGTGTGAACCTACAAAACAAACAAAAATTATTTCCCTACAGTGGCATTTCAGAGTGAAAGTATAACTGATACAGTATCTATGTAATAAAAATGGACTAATATATAACATTAAAAGTGGAGGGAAGAAGAGCATGACTGGAAAAAAAAAACCATCAGTGTTCAACCACAAAGGCTTGTTACTCATTCCACAAAACGTAAGTCGGGAGCACCCCTACAGCAGATATGAATTGTCCTTTCAAAATTATTGCTTACCTCCATCCACGAGCAAGGCAGGCCCGAGTTCCCAGCAGCCAGCATCTGTGCTGGGGGCAGCAGGCACACTGAGCACACGCAAAGCAATAGCTCTGTATGTGCTTGGTCCACCTGGCTGTTCTGGAAGACAGATCTGCACTAAAGGTAGCACACTGACCAAGCCAGACCAACCCACCAAAGGTGAGTCTCATAAACTATGCGCTGTAGAGGTCTCTTTCACGGTTACTGGAAAAACAGGCACGTGCAGAGGGTGCTACACTTCACCTGAATTCCAAATCACCTCTGGAGACGCCAATCATTTCCCACTGCCTAGACACAGAGCCTTGGACATCTATATGCCAAAAGCTTCAACAACAACAAAACCGACGACTTTCCACTTTTATACCCTAGCATATGAAACCCATCTTTTTAAACAAGTTTAAAAAATTAAGATAAAACTGTATTTTGGGGAAACAGCAATGGCATGTTACAGAATTTCAATCAGCAACCTACAGAGTGTCCTGAAAAAGAGAACTTTAAGATTTTGCAGTAATAAAAATATTACTACATTAATATTAATAAATAATATTACTAATATTATTAAAATATTATTACAGCAGTATCTACAATAAAAGAGACAAGAAAGTAACATGATCACAGGCATATGGAACAGGCATCTGAATCCTCAGTTATCAGTCAGGAGAAGGCAGAGAAAACACATTGGATGACAACACCTATTAAAGAAAAGCTGCATTTGTGGGCATATTAAAAATTAACTGAAGCAAGTAGCACAGTCTTGAGAAATTATTAATGTTAGAAAGACCTGAGTTTGCACAAGCTGCCTGCTCCTCCTTAATCTAAAAGCACAGTTATGAAATGACAAAATAGAAATAACGGTGAGTAATAAAGCTGGCAAAATCTTAGATGCTTGGACGTGGTTCATTGCACCTACCATAGCTTTACACCAAAGGCACTTCCAATCTTGCAGGCGTAACACACTGCCACAAGTCTTGTCGCAGACTGCGCATTTGGCACTGACGGGCAGATTACCCTCTAACCACTGGTGAGGCATAGCTATCTGTGAAGAAGTAGTCATAAAAGTTAAATACTCAGAAATAGAAATTAAAGGCTTTTGTCTCTCAAATATAGGTAGATCTAAACTATTTCCCACAGCTCTACCCTTTCATCAAAGAAGCAAGTATGGCTGACGCTGATGCTTGCAAACCAACAGCTATGAATATGGACTATGGTGGTGTTTCACAAGCTAGGCAGAAAATGTGACAACTGAAGAAGGGAGACACATCTCTCTCAACCATTTTTCATGGTACTATGGTAGCAACTAACCACAAAACAATGGGGCAGTTAAATCTAGCAACTCTATAACACAAATAAGTACCCATTCACTTAATGTTGACTACATGACACAAACCAATTAATATAACTAAAATTCAGAAGAATAGGCAGGACAGCAGAATACCTCTGTGGCTTTATGTGGCCCCTCACTACAGCTCGGAAGTCACAGCTCTATAAAGCAGTCCCTAAATGCCATGCAAAGCTTTACTCAGTGCACTCTGTCCCATTAATACCATGGGCAACTCAGGACACTCAAAGAGGCGTGCAACTTAGTACTAACCTTCTAGGCAGAAGTTTCACACCAGTGGCACATACATAGTTTTGTTTGTAAAAATAACCCATCTATCACAATAAATTTCTGAAAAGCTTTTGTCATTTCTCTTGCTAATTTTAAAATTCCTGCTTTCATCAGTAAAAAAACTCCTGACATGTCAGTGAATTCCAAATAGGCCTCCTGGGGAACAGCTATTGGTAAGGAGGACACAAAATAGATTGCCAAAACAGCATGGTAACAGTGTAAAATGCCACCTTTATTTAAGAGCAGTAGGAACTTCTGGGATCAGTTCTCCAGCTTCAGAGTTTCTCTGCATGTGGCCTTTACAATCTTGTAACACAGCTGCAATTGAGTGCCCACAGAAACTAAACTTTTCTTGTGAGATAGGAATATAACTTTTGTTTTGAACACCACATTAAACTTTGAAAAGCGTTCAGGAATATAGCCACCAACCATTAACTCCAATGGGTCACATGGCAACATTTCTATGCTTACACTTTTTTTTTGGAAAATACTTTAAATATGAATAGTACTTACACCATCTTCATCTTCAATGATGTCTTTTCCAATTGAGGCTAACGTAGTCCATTTGCAGTTATTTGTTGCTCGGACAGCACATCTTTTATGTGCTTTAAACTTACACACTGGAAAGCACATAAACATGTATACGATGTTATTTGCTATATTCTAGTGATACATATCTTCTTAAAAAAATTAAACACAAATATTCCATAAAGCAGCCAAGTAAATGTCACTTAGTGTTGCACACATGACACAAGCCAACTAAAAGAAAATTCAGTTCATAATCACTCCAGCTCTAACTTTCTAAGCTCGGTTTAACCACTCAGCTGTAGCCCATGATAAGTGTGTCCTCAAATCCACATCGGTCCCCATTTTTTTCAGTGCAATGCAAGGTACTAAGGCAGAAATATACGTTTAACTGTATTTTTGTCTTTTCTATTCCTCCACTGACACAACTTGGATACCTCATTTAAATTTGCAGGAGGTGACAGGAGAGGTACTTTCACAGAAGTATTTTGCTTCAGGAGTTCTGTTTCTTTGCTTAAAGGATCCCTTTTGGGCACCATACTTTGCTTGTTTTCCCAGAAGCTGAGAAAGTGAAGGGTTAGGTGGTGATATATTTTTCCAGAATACTGGTGGCTACAATATTTTCCAAGAAGTTACATTAAGTGAAGATGAGCCTGACTTCTTACTGGATTATTTATTAAAAATCTACTAATTGGAATACTCAGTACAAGTGTGTAGTACTGGCAGACATTTTGACAATCTAGTAACTACTTGCATTTTGTTCAACTCAATTAATATAACTAGTTAATGATATCATACTAGACCAAATAGACTGATTCACCCAACTGTGGGTGTTTCTGTTACTGGAAGTACATTACATCATTCTATTTACAGTGCATTATATAAATTATTTTGGCAAAGTCCATTAAAGGTTTATGAGAACTAGCCAGCAGACCAGAATTAGTAGTCTCTTTTCAAACAAACACTTGACAGGAAACTATCAAAAGCTTTGGCCCATTGCTTGTCCACCATTAAAAAACATTAAGCCATGGTACAAAAGGTCTTGTGAATCATAAATTTCTCATTTTAATTCCACTGATCCATTGCCAGATCAATTTAAAAAGTGAATTGAGACTATGTAAGCAACATCTGAGTGTGAGAGCTATCCTCACTGTTCTGGGAGATGTGTGAAAGTATGTGCTTAGCTCAAAGAAAGAGAAGGAAACAGAAAAAGTTTTGTTGCTTTTACAATAATACCTCTGGTCATTTCAAAAAGACCCAAAGTGTGCAAATATCCCATATTCCTCAACTAACAGGGAAGGCTCGCATTTTCAAAACAGCTCAGCATCATATTGTGTGTTTGCAAACCTGAGCTGGTTCCAAGCATCTAAAGAAGTCAGCTCTCACAGGACCACAGAAACAAAGGCTGCATTTCCAAGTGATGGGCCTTGAACAGCTTTACCACTTGAATGTTGTGGAGAAGATATGCCACTGAATTCAGTTTCCTACTCATAAATGATACGCATTTGTCTTTGCCACATAGATCAAAATACAACAAATCAGGGATGAGGGGCAATAGGAAATTCCAAATTACGAAGGCCTAACAAAGCAAGGGAATTTTCAAATTCTGTTGAGCTACAATTCAACTAGATTTCAGGACCCCGTATTCAACCTCTGCTCTCTCAACAAGGCATGGACAAATTCAAACCCAGGATCTGAAGAGCTGCAGCAAGCCACACCATGGATGGTAAGTGACAAGATTATTTTTTGAGAAGACACAAAAGAAGAAACTAGAGGAAGGAAATAGCATCGCATCTCAAAGGAGTGTATGATTAAATTTTTTAAAAGTCAATTGCTTTTTGAGCAGTAGAAAGAATGAAGCCCAGTTTTGTATGAATTTACGTCTTCAGTTTGATGTACATATTCATTCTTTGACTTCTAAAAAGACACAAGTTCACACTACAGTTATTTCCCTAGCAAAAGTATTAACATACCCTCTTTTCCTACACTGGCTGCCACAAAAATTACAGGAGTATCTTCAGGGTGGTCTGCAATTAATTTAGTCAACCATTGCTAAGGGCTATTGGGAGGGAAGGTGCCCTGAAAAAAGAAGGCATCAACCTTATCTCTAGAAGAAATGAGGATTGTTGTGCAGTCAAGTTGAAAAAAACAGTTGTGTAGCACTGCTGGAGACCACCAGGTCTAAGAGAATAAAATATTACAGGACTGATATTCTAAAGTATCATAAGTTGCAAAGTATCAGCAATGAGATTTATTTTTGTTTTTACCTACAGTTAACGGTCAAGAATCAGACCACAAAGAGTAAAAAGACTCTAAGCTGTTTTGAAGATAACTTGGTGTACCAGTAACCCAAACCACTGACAGGAGGAAGAGCTCTAGTATCTCTTGAGAAGAAGCCTCTCACACATCTCAATACTCATAATACTCATAATAGAGTAGCCCACGAACAGTGACCACACAAAAAATTGAATTTAGTATAGATATAAATTGATTTCCAGCGTAAAGCAGTGCTGGAGGTTTCAGATGCCAGGCATGAATATTTAAACATTTTTTTAAAGATGTAATGAGAAAAAGTAGCACAGAACACATCTGGGGAATCTTAAGACTCCATACTTCCTATATAATCTCCTCAAACAGTGTATATTGCTAATACAGGGCAAGTCAAAAAAATAGATGGTGAAATGCATTAGAAGTGAACATTGCAGAAGCAAGTAAATATGAACTCAGTCACATCAGAATTTCAGAGAAAATACAGTTCTTAGATGAAGAAATTAAAGATAGTTAACACAGGTTTTTGCAGGTATTCAGAATCAGGGACAAAGTATGAGTATTCCAGTAAGAGAGTCAACTGTCAAATGATTTAGATTAGATGCATAATTAAAGTTCTCCTTTTATTTTAAAAAATACTTGGGAAAAAATAAAGAAAATAGATATTAAGTAGTAGTTAAGAATTAAGAGGAGATAAACTTATTAACAGATAAAAGAACATCATAGTATATGAATATAAACCAATCCAGGTCATACATGTTTATAAAACTGTGGACCAGTGAAAGCAAATCCAAACTGCCTTCACAAGCCATTTGTAAAAACTAATCAAAGATCAACTGGCATCAGAAATGTGGATAAATTTAGTATTAGTTTGTAGTAAGTTATGCAGAAAGGTGTCAAAGTCCAGATCTGGAAATTAAGGGAAATTACATTTCCTTAATGTAAAGTTAACACCAACATCTTGGAAATTAAATCCATACTTAGAAGCAAAATAAGACACTGAAAAAAACAGAAAACAATGAACTACAACAATTAACATTGATAATCTTACAAGAATAATTCTTGCTAAACAGTCCTTTAAAATAGCTATAATACAAACTTATGAAAGGATAAATTCTTTATGAAAGAAGTCTTTCCTTGCCTTTGCCTGAGCAAATATAACTGTATCTGTACATAGAGGCAATACAACTGCATTTTAGTTAAGCACATGATACTTCCATCTGCCAATATCAGACACTGAAAATGCCATAATTGCCTTAAAACTGTCCAAACGACTTATACACAGTGGAAAACATACACCAGAGAAGCTGGAAGTAACTATGCTATTTCTAATTTCTATGAAACGTGTTCGTCCCGTTCCTTGGCAACTGCACCATTAGCTACATTAAAAGCCTGGACAATTCAGGACAGTGGGTTAATGTTTCCTTTTAAGATTTCCTCAATACACATTATTATGCCCAGACCTCAAGTATTATAACAGCATCAATAACAGAAATGCATTTGCAGTTGGATCACATGCATCCAAAAAATCAAGTTTTGAATGGTGTAACTGTAACTCTTTTCTGGACTTTTAGCTATTCTGGTAAGTAAATATCTATATGTGTCATATATAGCATAAGGTCACACAGATGTTTTATTTCCTGCTGGATTCTAACACAAGTAGACTTGCTGCCACTTTTTCACAGAACTTGCTGCAGAAAATAAATAAACTGTCTCAGGTTAATTATAAATATTTCTTTGCGGAATATTATTTCTCCAGATAAGCTTAATGCTCAAGTTCTAGCCACAACTCCTTTTTCTTTGTGCTGGATTTCATCTGTTGAACCACCAAAACGCAAAGGCATTTACCCCCTCACTGCATGAGAGAATTTTTAAGGCAGTAAATCTGGCCTCATGTGTCCTGCCCATACTGCAGGATTGGACAGCAGTGACAGAGCAAACAAGAACTGGAGGGGAAGAGGATGTAGTGCTGAACAAAGCGTTAAGAATTTTTATAGATGTTGGGCAGAGATTACCATTAGGATTTTTTTCCTGAGGAATGCTGATTCTGCAAACCAGTAAGATGATTTTGTTTCATATTTTTGACATGCAAATCAAATAAATCCTATCTTTTCTTGCAAACCATACACCCAACACATTCCAAACTGGTCGCTGCACCAGAAGGAACTGTTTTATTAAGATGAGTTAGAAAAAGGCACCTGGCGCATGAAGAGGGTGAGCCAGATCATCAGCAGTCCCTCTGCCCAGAAGAGAGTCACTCTAGTGAATATATTTGTCCCTTCAGGGTTTTTTTGTACTCATTATTTTCAGAATCATTACCCGCCTTAAACTTTCAGCCATGTGTTTACATATGCAGCATTAGGAACAGGGGAAGAAAGCGTTTATTTTACCTTCACAAGACAGGCCGTGAGAAGTGACTCCAGAGAGGCTCTCTCTACACACGTTGCAGAAGGTAGGTCGGGCATGGGAGCAGGCGTACCAGTTATGCATCCCTGAGAAATGTTCCACATTAAACTGTGCGGTCTAGTAAAGGAGAAGTTAAGACAAATTTGCAAGTACAGAACACAGCTGACTGAAATTACCTACGGTTCCATATTACAGGAGATGACAACGCAATGTTCACCAGAAGTATTTTCCAAAGGGTATTTAGCCTGCTCTCCCTCCAAACTTTTAGAAGTGTGATAATAAGCTCTCATTTTGCTAGTAAAGGTCTTAACCTGAAGCTTCACTCTGACATTAGACACACTTTTCACACCAAGGAGGGTGAATACCCAAGTTCTGTGTCCTGTAGTTTGATCTGCTGAGCTAGAACAGGTTGCACCAAGAGGGATGTCAACTTACCTCATAGTGTTCTCTGGACTGAACAGACTTCAGAGAGCTTATCCAGTCCTCCATTTCTTTTCTGTTCTCAGCACACAATATTAGCCTCCTAAATGGAGTGATTATCTGAAAAAGATAATGCATTCTGATTAATTCAGATAGCAAAAATCATGATAGACTATAATATTTAATACACTCTTTCCTGCGAGAGGATGCGAAAGGAAGACACACCCTTAATTGCAAGACATTAAACACTTAGAAATATTTTCTTTAATACACTACCAGCAACAAAGGAGTTTTCTTTTCCTTTTTCAGTTCCAAAGATTTGAATCAGGCTTCGGTATAGGTCTTTACAATCTATATTGATCATTCCTCTTTCTCAGCTTCTTGTCTATGCGCTGAGATTTAAATACTGAAATGGCAGGCACTGAAACTGCTAAAACAACCATTCTGGAAATTACTAATTGACTAAGATTGCAATATTTCATTATAGCAACTGCAAGGTCCATTCCAATTGCTAGAGACAAAAACATATCAAAATCAAAAGCCTGGAACTCTAAAACAACAACAAAAACTTTAATCATATTTCTCTGTCTTGTATATTGATATTAAATTTGCACCAATGTAAACAAACATAAATTTAAAGCAGAACTTCCTATATAAAACTCAGTATAAGAACACATATAAATCTTCATAAAAAGACACAGAGAACAAAAGCAAAGAGCTGAAATAATACCCTACTAGGATGGTTGAATGAATTCCTGGAACAAGCTGATGCTGGGGAGTTTTCAGTGGTCTGGAGCTGTATCTGTATCTGCTTTCAGATTCAGAAATCTGAAAATGCTGTATCTAGGAGGTTCAGAGTATAAGCTGTTTTCTCCTCTCCCTCATCAGTAGGAAAATAATTAAAATAACAGGAAGGCACCAGAAACCATCAGCTAACTCCCACTGAAATTATTTTGAGCACTGCACTAAAATAGACGAAGCAGTTACTTACACAGCAAAGAATTTAAAAAAAAAAAAGAAAAATAAGTACATGAAATTAAAAGAAAGTTATTTGTTTTGTTGTAGGAAGTCTCAAAAATAAAATTAAATCCTTTCTCAGTCTTATGCATAAATCTATTGCATAGTATGTACCCCCACACTTGCAAATTACTCAAGTGAAACAAAGAAAGGACCACCAAAAAATGATAGCTCTGAGTAGTATTTTAAATGCTACAGGCTTGATATTGTAACATTGCCACAATATTAGTAAACATATATCTACAGCTGCATTTACTTACCCAGTCTCTGTCGTAAATAGTCTCTAGCCCTGATTTGTCCTATCCACTTCTTCATTAAACTGAGCTGCACTTCAATGTATCTCAGAGGCAACGTAACTGAAGTGCAGCAAGCTGCAAGTCACATGGAGGGGAGGCAAAAACCCTGTGGGCTTGCTTTTTTTTTTTTTTTTTTTTTTTTTTTTTTTTTAATGTACTCACTTCACATGGAATGGAATAGTTTCTCTGTTTTCTATTTCCTTCAATCTTGCTTAAGCTTTTTAATAAGGTTTATTAGTAGCTCTCCGCAGCTATTCCTAAAGAACAGTTAATGCAAAGAGCAATGCTTCTCTCATTAGTTTGGAGCCAAACAGACGCTTTATTACTTCAAAATGTTTTTCTAGGCCAGGTCATCAAATGAAGCCCAGAAAGCCATTAAATCATAATATAACCCTGGCTCCAACAACAATCAGCATTCTGCTGGAATTTCCAGGTTTCAGTGGACTCAGGAATCTTATTTGGGCAAATACACTTGACAGTGTATTTGCATGGCATGGCATTATAATATGGATTAAGTAAGGACAAGTCAACTCAGAACTCTGACCTTCACATCCATCCTTCCCCCACGTTCATGACTGATGCTAACTTGTAACCAGATGTTGTGAAAAGCCATTAGCAACCACAGCTGCATTTCTTGTTGAAGGCTCCTGACAATCTTGATCTTTTCAAGTAATACTTATTTCTATTACTCAAATCTTTAATACTACTGATTTCAGAAATCACCTGTGCGTCCCTCCACTCTTCCCTCCCAAAATCAAGGCCTTAGTTTAGTTTTTATTGAGTGCCAATGGAGATGCCCTTTGGTATCCAAAGCACCGGCATGGGGCAGGTAAATATGACAGAGGACTATAGCACCCAGAAGAGCAGCTATAAACAAGCCAGGTGGGACACCAAAGGCCATGTCAAAAGGTACTACAGACCCACGTATTGGCAACCAAATCATGTCACCAAACAATGCTAACTAATGCATGTAAACATAACAGAAATTCCTACACCCTGACTTCTTATTAAATTCAGAGCATAATAAACTTAATAAAGTTCAAGGCATTTAAAACCTAAAAGTTAAATTATATACTGATAATCATATGAACATAGGACCAATTATTATCAGTGCTATAAAAATAAAGTGGAAAGATGAAGACATACGTATTTGTAAATATAGCATCTATAACATGATTAAACTACATATTCTCTTTGGTTTACATACTGTTAACAACTTCAAGAAGGCATATGATAACATGAAAAACAAAAATGCATTATAAGCAAAAAATATCAACAATTTTGGAATTTTTCTTAAAAAAAAATACACTAAGAACTCTGTTTAGATTCTCATCTATTTCAGTCTACAAAAACATAGAAAAGATCTACTCTCATTATTTATTTGATAATACATGTAACATAAGAACTCAGGGAAGCAAGGAAATTATGAGCAAACAATAAGAAGTGTTTTTTTCCTAAATATAATGCATTATTTAGACTTGAAAAGTATTCCCAAAGGATGCTGAGGAGACCAGAAGTATAAATATCTAAAAAGGTATTTGACAAATTCATCACAATTAGATGCATCAGATACGATAAAACATAACATCCGAAACCTTGAACTTAGCAAGTCCTCAAAATCCAACAAGGAGTGAACACTGGGAAGTTACACAAGAGGAAGAATCACTGTACATGCTCTGCTGCTTACACTCCTTTCTTGAGTACCAGCTATTGCTATGATACTCCTTTGATTCAGTACGGTTTTACTAACTCAGTATAGCTGTTATTGTTTGTCCTAAACTGAGAATGACACCTTCTTATTTCTATTTACACAGAAGGCATGCTTTTTTATGGATGCTTACAGAAAGTTATGATTCACCAGGTTGTTTAGAGTGTATTAATTAAATACAGTTCAACCTGTATGCAGACATAATCAAACTTAAAATGGATTTAATTGTCTTCAAAGCTATTTTTTAGCCATGTAAATTTAGATTATATGAGTAGTCTTATCTCATTGTATGCAGTCATATTCAAAGTTCTATGTCTCTTCTTTTACTAACCAAAGTCAGTACCTTCTATTACATATTACCTTGTTTTTTAAATTGATGTTCACTGTCCCAAATATTATTATTTAAATATCATTCTGAATATGCTAAACTCTCAACAGACAAGAAGAAATTGTATAATACAGTGACAAATGAAGTGTCACAGGAACCTCTGGAAGACCACTAAGGTAAGGCAAGAATAAGAAAACTCTTAAATCTTGGAGGAACTCAGGTGCTAATGGTTCACACGCTGACAAAGCAGAAGACAAATCAAGAAGGATGAAGACAGACAAAAGGCCTTAAAAATAAATAAATCAAGCAGATTTAATTTAGAAGATTAAGTTACTTCGAAAATTTTCACCATTGTCAAGTAGCCAAGAAGAAGTCATTGCTGATTTTGGAAGAGAGAGTTATCAAAGCCAGATACTGCAGTATATTTGAAAGTAATGAAATTGAGGTAGTGGGAATAAAAACGTTTTTAAGGCAGTAGGCATAGGGAAACAGTGAGCATATACAGTCTTAAAAGTTGAAGGCAAACAACACAAGTCCTAAACCATCATATGGAATAAAGAATGTCTGGATAGGAAGAAAAATGGCCCATTACTGCAAAAATGTTCCTGTTCTGTTTAGAAAATTACAGGGCTTTTTGAGTGGGGAATGAAGGAGAGAACAAGAGGACATTGTTCAGTCTGCTACCACATAGGTCTTGCCATAAACTGGGATTTTCACACGTGCTGACCCTATGTTAATTTGGATTCTAAAAATATACACAAACTCATATATGTGTACCTACACATCTGGAAATTACTTTGATGAAAATTACAAAGTCAAGTTTTGGGCCACTACTGAAAATTTTCTTTCAGACAGCAGCTATTAGGAATAAGCTGAACATCTGGAAAGGAAATAAAATTGCCATTAAATTCAGTGTAAATTTGAAAGCATCTTTCACTTTCAAAGTGGCTAACTTTACCAATAACATTCTATATGCCTTCAAAAAGTTTAGACTTATGATCTGTAAAATAAAATCAAATAAAATCATAGAGACTTCAGTTAAAGTCTATTGTCTATTTTTTTTTTTTTTTTTTTTTTTTTCATATAAGAAAATACAGTTCCCAAAGCTTGGTGGCTATATTTCTGGTTGCCTTTACCAATTTTAAGAAAAATGCAGACACGACATTTGGTAATCAAGAAAATAACAGCCTACATCTCAGCAGCAACACAGCAGCTATTGCAAAGCACGTTGCTTCCTGCAACATGATATCAGAAAAATGCAGACACGACGTTTGGTAATCAAGAAAATAACGGTCTACATCTCAGCAGCAACACAGCAGCTACTGCAAAGCACGTTGCTTCCTGCAACATGATATTTGCATTAAGGCACCTTCTGCTGCTCTAAACTATTATCAGGCATTACACTAATAGCACTTTGTATGGCTGATCTTGAATTGACTTAGTAATGTAGAAATACCACTTACAATCCAAAACAGGCAGGGAAATGGTTTTCTTGTTCTTTGAACAGATATTTTAAAAATATCTTTCAGGAACTAACGAAGAGAGGGTGATATAAAGAAAGGGAGCACTCATGCCTCTCCTCTTCGGGGCTGCACCCGGTACCTGGGACATGAACGTAACCGACTTAATGTTTTGCAGCTTCTCTGTGCTTCTAGATGTTGGTGAGAGAGTTCTGGCAAACACCAGGATAACACGTTATGCCTCTCTTGCTTTCTGTATGCCCCTCCATTTCCCTGTCCTCATGCAGGTGTGTCCATATGAATGCAACAGA